CCTCAGCCTCCGCAGCCCCCTGTTCAGCCTGAGCTCCGTCCTGTCTTCCCGCATCCGTGGAAGCTCGAGGCGCTGGTCCGAAGGACTCTGGTGGAAGGCTCTCCCCTCTGCCCTCCGCCTCCTGTTTACCGTGGTGACTGTCTTACACCGCTGAACTCTTCTGTTCTTTTTGTTCTTGAAGGTTAGGACCTTCTAACATTCATTCGCTGTCACTGTAGCACGGCCAGGGAGAGGAAGGGCTGCCATCATCACTCCTGAGGGCACTCCGTGGTTCCGATTCCTGTGTTTGCCCGGGCTGGCCGGCTCCCCTAGCCCTGCGGCACGGGCTGCGGCCGCGCTCAGTGGGACGCGCAGAGCCCTGCAGAGGGGGACTCGTGTGGCGTGCGGGCCCGCAGTGACACGGAGCCGTGGCGAGCTCCCGTGCTTTCTCTGCTTGCCTTTATTCTTCTTACCATTCACTTCCGTGCCCAAACCAGGTCTTCAAAACTAAATCAAGATAAATAATAATTGTTCTTCTTTTTAAAACGGTTTTAGAATGTTTAAAGTAAGTTGCCGCTTTGCTCATCGGAGTTTTAGGAACAGAGAGCGCTCCGCAAGCAGCCTACTTTAAACGAGCTGTGACTGCTCACGGGGGTGTGGGCTCAGGAGTTGGTTACGTGCAGATGCAGTCGCCGCTTAGAGACGCGGCCGCTCCACTGGGCTCCCAGTCACTTCTCAGCATTTATTATTGCGCCCCAGCTGTCAGGATTTGAGAATGAGTGCTGGTGCTAGTGGGGCCCGTCAACCGATACTGAAGGAGAAGTCGAAGGAGAAGTTTTTTCGGTGTGCAGAGTTGCTTTTCTTGATTTACCAACTCTGATTCTGCCAGGGTGATGCGGGCCTTGCGGGCAGGTTTATCATTAGTCATAATGGTGGCCAAGGGCATTTACAGCTGTGTTTAGTGTGTATTTACTGTATGTAGCTGTATTCAGCCTGCATATTTATAGTGTAGCTCTGTCTCTCTGATCTGTAATTCTGAAATGAAAAATGTCCTCGAGAATGTCTTTGAACTCACTGGGACAAATCTGGACCAGTCTGAATCACTGGGACTTAAACATGACCTCAAGTGTGAGCTTTTTCTGGGCCTTCTCCAGTCAGTTGTGAGCGCGTGTGGGTCTCATGGTAGACATCGCATGCTGGACGCTTGGGCCGCGTGACCGTGCGTCCACAGTGCGCAGACTGTCATTTCAGACAGCCTGGACGGATTCCTGGTACTACCCATGGGGGATAAAACCCTTGCTTCTCGGAGAGTAGCTTCCTCATGCCTCTGTTACTTGGGTTGCTGTTGCCGTAGTTAGAAAACTTCGTCTCAGGCTGCTCTTACAGTATCCTGAAGGTAGTTCTGTAATAAAGTGACCAGGGGCCTCTTCGCGGCTGCTAGTCAGTCAGTGACTCACCTGTTTGATGGTGTCATTGTAGCACACAAATGTTTTAAATGAGCTTCTAGGATTAAAATAGTGTAAAATCACTAAAGGTAGTTTTGATAATTCTTCTAATCAAGCAATTTCTGTATAAATAATGAGTATAATACATTTACATACGGCCGGCGCCATGGCTCACTTGGTTAATCCTCCACCTACGGTGCCAGCATCCCATATGGGTGCCGGGTTCTAGTCCCGGTTGCTCCTCTTCCGGGCCAGCTCTCTGCTGTGGCCCGGGAAGGCAGTGGAGGATGGCCCAATTGCTTAGGCCCTGCACCCACGTGGGAGACTAGAAGAAGCACCTGGCTCCTGGCTTTGGATCGGCATAGTTCCGGCCATAGCGGCCATTTGGGGGTTGAACCAACGGAAGGAAGACCTTTCTCTTTGTCTCTCTCTCACTGTCTAACTCTATCTGTCAAATAATAATAATTAAAAAAAAAATACATTTACATAACATCCAATTCTAACTACTTACTATGGCAAATAAATTTTCCTGATTATGAAGTCATAACCTCTCCAAGGTTTTCAAGGCCCAGCCCCAGTGCCCCTCAAGGCTGTCTAGACTTGCCTCAGCAGACAGGGCTCCGAGGCCCACTTTTAAATTTCTCTGTCATAGCACTGTGCCAGTCCAGCCATTTAGGGAGTGAACCAGCAGATAGAGGGTCTCTCTCTCTAACTCTGACCTTCAAATAAATAAATAAAACTTAGAATTTTGTTTTAGTTACATCTGGACTGAACACACACAGACTTTTTCTCCCTGACATTATACTCTAAATAATGCTGCATACCAGCCCTTACACAGCTTCTCTATTGTGTAGAGTAGAAAATCTAGCGCATTAATTCTGTGGTCACTGGAGGCCCTACAGGGAGAGCAAGCCCTCATGGGCCGTGCTGGCCACCGTGTTCACATGTCAGTGGCAGGTCTCCGAGGACAGCTCCCATAGCTAAAATGTGCCATTAATGCCACTGCAAATCAGGAATTTCGGCTTTGCTGTGGTGGTTCTGGTATTTTTCTTTCTGAAAAGGAACTGGGGAAGTGGGATTAACAAAGTCGACTGCTGTTTTTAACTTTGTTTTTGATGGAAAGATTTCCTCCTGTAAGCTTTGATGGCCATGAATCTGATTGCAGGGGTTATTTACCATGGCTAGGCCTGTCCCCTGAGAAGCAATTTAAAACAATTCCATTAAAATCCAGAACGCTAATCAGAAAGAATGTTGTGGCACATTGAGCGAGGACTGTGGAGGGCGTTCAGCCCTGCACGGGTGTGCCGTTAGCTGCCCCTGGCTCGGGTGTGCCCTTCACGGCCCCGCAGGCCGTGTTTGTGGCTGGGTCAAGGGGAAACCACGTGGACTTCCATATTCACGGGTTCCCATCTGCAGATGCAGCCAACTGAGGACTGGAAATATTTGAAAACATTATTACAGTTTATTCCTTGTCACTACTCCCTAGGTAATATAACAGTAATCTATGTGGCAGTTATAATTCATCTAGAGACAATGTACAGTATATGAGAGGTTGTATTTATTTAGCTTGTATGCATATACTGTGCCATTTTGTATATGGAACTTGAGCGTCTACAAATGTGGATAGTTGTAGGGGGTCTGGAACCTGTCCCCCAGTGACAATGAGGAGCGACTGTCCTTTATTTTGAGTGACAGTGTCCCCTTGCATAGGAGTCAAAATAGATCTAACTCTTCCCACCGAGTGTTCTTGTCACCAGTAGTTTTATGATGGGATATGTGAATGTTTTTATCCGAATAAGAAAAATTAGACGACTTTAGAAATGCTTTTGCCAAAGAGGACTCTTCAGGTTTGAGGACCGTGTACCTGAATTCGTGTGTGCTTCACGTGTGAGTAGGTTCATTAAGCAGATATTCCCTGAGCACCTGCTACTTGATAGACACTGTTCTAGGATTGGAAATTCAGCAGTTAACAAACTAACTGAAGTCCCCACCCTCCCAAGAAGGGACGTCTTGGATATTATATCCTAGAATAGCGGTGATAATGTACTTCCGTCCTGACACAAGAAGCAAGGACCGCTGTCTTAGGGAGTGTATCAGCCAACAGAACAGCTTGGTACCTGTGGCTGACTGATTGGAAGCAGACATAGCTGTGTGCTGGGATTTTCACGCCTTGCTCACGCATTCAGTGCAACCTGAAGCCTGAAACCCTTTTGAATATGCTTCACTGTGGACTCACTCCCTCTGGGTTCATCGCTCTACGTGACTGTGTGTGCGTGTGTGTGTGTGTGTGTGTGTGTCCATCCACCTTTCTGCTCCAGCTCGATTCCAAACTCTTCAGAGAGCCCAGCAGGTGTCTAAATCATCTTGCAATTTTGAAGGTTTGTGGGTTTTTTTCTTTTATTTTTTTTCCCTCATTTTATTTGAAAGGCCGGGATAGAGAGAGGTGTTCCATTCATTGATTCACTCTGAAAATACCCACAACGCCACAACAGCTGGGCTAGGCCAGGCCAGAGCCAGGCCTGGAACTCAATCCCGACGTCTCCCACGGGTGGCGGGACCTGAGTGCTTCAGCCTTCACCTGCGGCCTTCCAGGGTGCACATCAGCAGGAAGCTGGAGTCCAGAAGTTGAGCTGGCGCCTGGACCCAGTCAGCCCAAGAGAGGAAGCAGGTGTCTCAGCCCCTTCTCAGCCACTGCGCCAAATGCGCTCTCCTACTTCTGTTTTAAAAACTGTGTAGATTGTACTCACATCACATTTGCTAGGAGACTCCTTTTATGCTAATTAAGAGCTGCGTTTCATGTTCATGAGCCCCATAGCCTCATGTCGGGGCAGGGAATCTCTGTTGTAATGAGACAAAGCAGCATGACCAAAATGAGCGTGGCCGTGTCAGATGTGGACTTCTGCTTAGTCCATAGGGATGTTTCTCCACATGTAGTGTATTATGTGTGAAATAAAAAAAGTTTAAGATCTATTTATTTATTTATTTGAGAGACAGAGTTATAGACAGAGGGAGAGAGAGGTCTTCCATCCACTGTTTATTCCCCAAATGGCTGCAACAGTGGGAGCTGGGCCAGTCCGAAGCCAGGAGCCAGGAGCCTCTTCCGGGTCTCCCACACGGGTGCAGGGGCCCAAGCACGTGGGCCTCCACTGCTTTCCCAGGCCACAGCAGGGAGCTGGGTCGGAAGTGGAGCAGCCGGGACTCGAACCTTGCCCTTACAGGCTGCAGGCGCTGCAGGCGGAGGCTTAACCTGCTGCTCCACAGCATCGGCCCCAGAATGCTGCGCTCTCCTGAGTGAGGGAGGTGATGGGCGAACGAATGGGTGGTGTTATAGGGCCTGCATTATTGATCCGCATTTTGATGGGTCAGTGTTTGCTAGTGTCTTTGTGTCCCCGACTGAGTGGGGTTATTCTCCTCTTCCAGGCCTCAGTTCTTCTGTTTCCTCTCCTTTGTGTGCTTGCTCATCATACGCATTGCAGTTTTTTCTCGATACTTCTCATGGAGACCGGGATGTACACCTCGCGTGTGCGGAGGGCTCGCTGTCTGTGTCCATTGCTAACCTGTGATCCCCACCGCCAGGTCCTGGGCCCTGCCCCGCGGTGGTGCTCCTTCTTAGACAACCTGACCGAAGAACTGGAAGAGAACCCGGAGAGCACGGTGTACGATGATTACAAATTTGTAACCAAGAAAGACCTGGAAAATTTAGGTAAAAATCACAAGATGTCTTTAAGGTTATTTTAGTTCCGCCTTCTCTTTAGTTTTGAACATTAGAACTGCCTGAGCCGTGGTAATCTGATTTTCCGAATCTTCCCTTTCAGGCAGTAAGCAGCCTGTACATTAAACACTGCTTCTGCCAGATGAGCTGTTAGCACGCTGTGCGTTGACGATGTCTGACGTCTGCTTAGAGAGGGGTTCAGGGAAACTCAGTCTGCTGAAGTTTTTCCTTTCAGTGGAGGTAATCCTTGCACATGCAGCTGTGTGTAGGGGACATCTGGCACGGAGCTCTGTAAGAAGGCTGACGTGGGTTTACACTCACTGCTGACTGTTTCCAGTGTTCTTCGAGTGTAAGGTCTTGAAACTGCCCCCAGAGGTCAGCAGTGAGTCCTGGCTCCCTGGTAGGTGTATTTATGAAAGACTTAATCTAAAACCCAGAACTCGTAGACTGGATCTTCCAATAAGGGTAGAACCTGAATAGATACTTGATATTTAAAGGTTATAAACTGAAAACATGTCTTCCAAGAGTAACTTCCAGGCCGGCCCCGCGGCTCACTAGGCTAATCCTCCGCCTTGCGGCACCGGCACACCGGGTTCTAGTCCCGGTCGGGGCGCCGGATTCTGTCCCGGTTGCTCCTCTTCCAGGCCAGCTCTCTGCTGTGGCCAGGGAGTGCAGTGGAGGATGGCCCAGGTGCTTGGGCCCTGCACCCCATGGGAGACCAGGAAAAGCACCTGGCTCCTGCCATCGGATCAGCGCGGTGCGCCGGCCGCGGCGGCCATTGGAGGGTGAACCAACAGCAAAAGGAAGACCTTTCTCTCTCTCTCTCTCTCTCACTGTCCACTCTGCCTGTCAAAAAAAAAAAAAAAAAAAAAAGTAACTTCCGTGTGCCCCATGATATTTAAGTGTTTTATGTATTGCCTATTTAATCCTCAAAACTCTGTGCAGTGGGTGTTATTATGGTTCCATTTTATAGGTAAAGAAACTGAGTCTGAGGAAGATTAAGTATTCAAGCTGGGGCTGAGCCCCAGAGTTTGTTTTTTGTTTTTTTTTTGTTTTGTTTTTTTTAAGATTTATTTATTTATTTGAAAGGCAGAGCTACAGAGAGGCAGAGGCACAGGGGGTTGGGAGAGGTCAGTCTTCCATCCATCCACTGTTTCACTCCCCAATTGGCCGCAACAGCCGGAGCTGTGCCAATCCAAAGCCAGGAGCCAGGAGTTCCCTCCGGGTCTCCCATGTGGGTGCAGGGGCTCAAAGACTTGGTCCATCTTCCACTGCTTTCCCAGGCCATGGCAGAGAGCTGGATCGGAAGTGGAGTAGCTGGGTCTCGAACCGATGCCCTTATGGGATACCAGCACCGCAGGCGGTGCTTTACCCCGCTGTGCCACAGCACCAGTCCCCCAAAGGTTCTTTATGTGTGTGTTTTTAATATCTTCTAATTTTTTTAAAAAAGTTTTATTTTGGGGCCAGCACTGTAATGTAGCAGGTAAAGCCACCGCCTGCAGAGCCAGCACCCAACATGGGAACCCAGTTGCTCCACTTACCATCCAGTTCTCTGCTGTGGCCTGGGAAAGCAGCAGAAGATGGCCCAAGTGCTTGGGCCCCTGCACTTGCGTTGGAGACCCGGAAGAAGCTTCTGGCTCCTGGTTTTGGATCTGCCCAGCTCCAGCCATTGCAGACATTTGGGGAGTGAACCAGCAGACGGAAGCTCTCTCTCTCTCTCTCTGCCTCTACCTCTCTGATACTCCGTCTTTCAAATAAATAAAAAAAAAAAAAAAAAAAGACTTATTTTATTTATTTGAAAGGCAGAGTACAGCAAGAGTGGGAGAGACAGAGAGAAAGCTCTCCCATCCGCTTGTTCACTCTCCACGTGGCCACAAAGGCTGGAGTTGGGCCTGGCCAAAGCCAGGAGCCTGGAACTCCATCCAGGTCTCTCACATGGGTGCAGGGGCCCAAGCGCGTGTGCCATCTGCTGTTCCTGTCCCAGACACATTAACGTGCAGGGAGCTGGATCTGAAGCGGAGCAGCCGGGACTCGATCCAGCGCTCATGTGGATGCCGGTGTTGTAGGCGGCAGCGTAACCTGCTGTGTGCACAGCAGCACCCTGTATCTTCTGATATTAAATGAGCAGTGGCTATCATTTTTAAGATTTCTGAACCACGCGTAAAATCTCCTAAATAGATTATCTTAAAAACAAAGGCAACTATGTTACTGACTGACTTCCTTGAATTATTTCGTTTTTTAATTTTTCATTTATTTTACTTGGTAAGTAGAGGGAGAGAGAACCCTCCCATTTGCTAGTTCACTCCCCAGGTGCCAGAGAGCCGGGAACTCAGTTCAGGTCTCCCGTGTGGGTGGCAGGGACCCAACTACTTGAGCCCTCCCCTGCTGCCTCCCAGTGTGCATTGGTAGGAAGCCTGCGTTGGGCCTGACCAGGAATCCAGTCCCGGGACTCTGATGTGGCCGCAGACACCTCGCCCTGCAGGCTGAGTGCTCACCCGGGGTTATGGTTCGTGCAGCGTCAGTCGCATTGAGTACTTGCAAGTTCTGACTCTGCTCCTGTTTGTGGCCTTTGGCAAACCTGTAGCTTGTATTCCCACAGCCTGTTCCCTGGAATAGTACGTCTATAAAAGAGCTGCATGGGTAGCATGGTGGCTGATACCATGAGCTCTGTAAGAAGGCTGACGTGGGTTTACACTCACTGCTGACACTCAACACCTGAGTCAGTTGGCCAGTTCACTGAGCCTGGTTTCCTCCTCCATAAAACAGGAATAATGGACCTGCCCGTAGGATTGCTTGGGCAGTGAATCGGATAATGTCTGAAACAGACTAAGTGTTACTAACAGACTAGCTGTTACTGTAGGGATCTGTGACAAGTTGAAGTAATGCTAGGTTAAGTACAGTGAAATCAAGTTCTTTATTATGGAGACTTTAATATCATACGTGTTGTGGGTCTCTGGGCCAGGAGAGAGGGTCTGAAACATTTCCCAAACTTAGAGGACCATGGAGCCTTTTGCCCTCAGGCCCCTTGGCCCTGTGTTCTGTGGCGCTCACGGCACGGCTGCTGTCAGTCTCTGTCGCGGTGTTTCACCGTGAAAGCCGCCACCTTGGTTTCTAGTTGTGATCTGACTTGGAGTGGGAGTAATTGTGACATAAGTCAGAGTTTTATATGGTTAATACTAATAGAGGAAACAGACGTTAGTGCTGTCACTGGTCTATATTTATATGTGTATATAGAAGATTTGATTTGATTTGTGAGGTAGTTCCATTCAGTGAGAGGGAGAGACACAGCGTAAAGTCTTCCATCCACTGGTTCATTCCCTAAATGGTCGCAACGGCTGGAGCTGAGCCGATCCGGAGCCAGGAGCCAGGAGCTTCTTCTGGGTTTCCCATGAGGGTGCAGGGGCCCAAGGACTTGGGCCATCTTCCACTGCTTTCCCAAGCCACAGCAGAGAGCTGGATCAAAGAGGAGCAGCCGGGACACAAACCGGCCCTAGTATGTGCTGCTGGTGCCGCAGGTGGAGGCTTAGGATAGCATGCCACAGCGCCGGCCCACAATCTGGTGATCAGACATCGTTCTGAAGGAAGGTTGTGTGATAAACATGCAGATGCAGGTACTTTTAGGCTGTTGTGCATTGACGCATTTCATGAAGACTCAGCCGTCTTTTTTTTTTAACAATCCACTGTGAAAGACGTTTTATTATCCTAAGGAATTCTAGGAAAGAATTTTCTGACCAAGTCTTATAATTACTTTATGAAGTTATCCAAAATTTAACTTGGCTTACTTACATGATTTCCTGTTGTATACTATAGTACTGTGTGATTTTTGCATAGGACCTGATTTTCAGATCTAGATGGATGTATTTTTCTAGAATTTGAAAACTAGAGGGGCCAGCACTGTGGCGTAGTTGGTTAAGCTTCCACCTGCGGCACCAGCATCCCCTGTGGGCACCAGTTCAAGTCCTGGCTGCTCCACTTCAGATGGAGTAGCACTTCAGATGGACGCAGCCGTTTGGGGAGTGAACCAGCAGATGGAGGCTCCCTCACTCTCTCTCTCTCTCTCTCTCTCTCTCTCTCTCTCTAACTCTGCCCCTCTGACATAAGTAAAATAAATCTTTCTTAAAAAAAGAAAGCTAGACTGTTTGCCGTGAAAGGTGCTTAGCTCGTATACCAAGGGCGCTTTTTCTCGGTTCCTTACATGTAGTCTCACTTTGAAGATAATAGTCTCGTAACTTTCTGTTCAGATTTTTACAGTGAATAATTCCTGTAGCATAGACGGAGTCCTTACGTGACCCCAGCAGCCCTAATGCTGTCATCCGCTGGAGGTGTTACGCAGCGCAGGGCTGCCCGCCCCTGGCTGCCAGTAGACTGTCCATCCATCCCCAGTGAATTGTGCGTGTAATGTGTGTATTAATGTGCACGTGTGCTTCTGTGTGCGTCGGCTGCTCTTTCTTCCCAAGGCTGTTTCCTTTGCTACCTTACTGTTGTATACTGTCCTTTGTTTTTGGAGGTTAAGGATGATAATAATTTTTCTCCCCCTCTGCCTCCACCTTCCTGCTTAGCATAAACATCAACAACCTCGTGTTGATTCCTAGTATTATTTTTAAGTTGAACTGGTTTGTAGAATCCAAAAATCTGAGAACCACTAGCATAAGGAGCCGTCTTTACCAGTCCGTTGGAGTTTGTAATGATTTTCTCGTTGTTTTATGCTTAGTGTATCATTTAAAATAAAATGATAGTAAGTTAATTATATTTTTTCTGTAGATATTAAAGGTTGGTAATTCCGATCCTTAAATTTTTATGCAGAAATAAAATCTTCATATCGTCAAACTGTTGTCTAGGAAAAACTTAAATTTTAGTTGGGATTTCATCAGAACCTGCCCTCTTTAACTTTTCCCAGGGCTCACACATCTCATTGGATCACCATTTCTCCGGGCTTATATGCATGGATTTTTCATGGATATAAGACTCTATCACAAGGTACGTGCAAAATTCCAGTTGTTTCAAGAGACCAATGAGCGATCTGTAGCTGGCTCTTTTCTGCTGTACTTTGATAAAACATACAAAAGGGGCCAACATGTGGCACAGCAGGTTGGGCCATTCGTTCTCTGCAGCACCAGCATCCCATATCAGAGCGCTGGTTCAAGTCCCAGCTGCTCTGCTTCTGATCCAGCCTCCCGCTGATGTGCTGGGGAGGCAGAGGAAGACGGCCTAGTACTTGGGCCCTGCCACTCCGTGGGAGACAAGGATGGAGTTCCAGGCTCCTGGCTTCAGCCTGACCCAGACCCAGCTGTTATGGACATTTGGAGAGTGAACCAGCAGCAGTGGAGGACCTCTGTCTGTCTGTCTGTCTCTCTCTCTCTCTCTCTCTCTCTCTCACACACACACACACACACACACACACACTGTCTCTCTGCCTTCCAAATAAATAAGTAAAACATACTTGGGATTTATAAGGGATGTGTCTGTTCTTTAACATAGTAATCGTGGTGTATTTGAAGCATGCTGGTAACCATTTTTTTTTTTTTTTCATTTTATAAAGGTGAAATTGATGGTAAATCCATTTGCTTATGAAGAATACAGAAAAGATAGAATTCGACAGAAGATAGAAGAAACACGTGCACAGAGAGTCCAATTAAAGGTAAATCTTAGGTTCACCATTGCATTTGCCTGAGAAACACTTAATTTGCGTTTCACTTTGTGTGACCTCTGCTGTTGTTCGCGGCTGCCTCCCCGTCGCTGGTCGTGAGGCTGGGTCCTCTGTGCAGCTCTGTTTTGGGAGCTCTGTGGCAGTGGGAAAACGGGGAGTAAATGATGGAACCACCACTCGTCACCCCCACTAAGAACATCTGATGAGGGTGGGGGCAGCGTGGGCCCAGGTCGGAGGGTCTGGAGGAAGTCCCAGCTTCCTGTTAATGCACGTCGCGGGAACCAGCAGGCGACGCCTCCAGTGCTCGGGCTGCTGCCACCACGTGGGAGACCAGGTGGAGTTGCAGGCTCATGGCTTCTTCCCAGCCCAGCCCTGGCTTTTACAGGCATTTGAGGAGTGAACCAGTGGATAGAAGATCTTTCCCTGTCTCCCTGCCTTTCAGATAGGCATAATGAAACAGATCGTTTAGTTAAATAAACCCTGATGGGGTTTTCCAGTGAGCTCTCAGTTTTGGTGCATTGGGGCTTTACCAGTCCCCACTTCGTGCCGACTTCTGGCAGTGTCTCGGGCTGTCTGGATCACGAGGGCATCGTTAGGCTGTGTCAGGAAACAAACCCTGGCTGTCCTATCAGCAGAGAGAGTTCAGTGTGAAGAATCTCCAGCCAGGTACCGTTCGAGAGAGCTGAGAAGGACCAACGCTGCTGTTTGGGTAAGAGGCAGTAAGTGCAGGCCACGGCTCCCACTTCAGGCTCTGCAGGGCCCGTGGAGCTGGGCCCTGGGCTTCTGGGAGCGGCACAGGCCGTGCCAGGCCCTTGGTGGGTGTGGGATGTTCCTGGCAGCGCTGGAGCTGGACGACCAGGAGCACTGCTGCCCCTCAGGCCCGCTGTTGCTGCCAGGGCAGAAAACCTGTGGCTTGAAGCCCACCCGAACGGCAAGGCAGGCAGACGGGGAAAACAAGTCCTCTCCCCCCGGCTGCCTCCCTGCCTCTCCAGCGACCCTCACTCGGTGTAATCACCAGGTGTTCTAAATACTCACAGCCGGACACACACGAGTGTGCTTCCAGGCAGGGGACCCGGCTGCCCTGACACTACCTCGGCGCTGTCCCCTTTGCCCAGACTCGTGGCGGGTTGCTGAGGACGCTGCGTGGCAGGAGAGGCTGGTGTGAGGACGCCTGTGCTCCGGCTCTTCACTGCCTGTCGCTGTTACCCGCCGGACCCAGAGCACGCAGCACTGAGTGGAAGAGGGTGACGGATAGCTCGGAACTTGCACCTGAGGGCACGCAGGCTCGCCTCTCCAGTTCCCTCTAGAGGTTTGCTTCCTCAGGCTCGGGAAGCGGTGCAGCCAGATCCTTAGAAGCGTTTTGGCCTCCCCACACTGCAGCCAGAGTTCACAGCACGAGCCCTGCTGCCTGCTGCTGCCCGTTAGGGTCCTGGCCTGTCTGTGGTGTCGTGGGCCAGACACGTGTCTCTCAGCTGGTTCCTCCAGGTGCTGGGAGGATGCGGGGTGAGGGTGAGGCCCCCCGCAGCACCCCTCGGGTCCTCGTTATTTCCTGCTTTGGGGATAATGAAATTTCAGAAGTAAGAATTAAGCTCTCTCCTTCTGAACTCTTTGTAGAAGTATTAACCTTCAAAGCTAAAATAGCTCTCTCGATTACGTAGTTACAGCATTTTTTTCCCCTCTACCACTGTTAGAAATTGCCAAAAGTTAACAAAGAACTGGCACTGAAGTTAATTGAGGAAGAGGAGGAGAAACAAAAGTCTACATGGAAAAAGAAAGTTAAGGTAAGCTTTTGTAAGAAAATATTGATAAATTGTTCCTGGATTTTCTTGATGGTAACTGGTATCTTTTTATTATTTCTTTTTCCTTAAAGATAGATGTAGAGTTTTTTTGTTTTTTTTTTTTAACTTTTTTACCTGCTTGTGAGATAGAATGTGCTCCACGTGGACTTCAGACGAGAGGAAAGAATGTCTAGCAGGAAGCCGCCCTCGGGACTCTTCCCGGAGGAAGGCATCATGGTAGTCAGTGCATCTCCTTCCTGTTTCGTGTCTTTGGAATCGTGCACTGGAATAGCAAGACAATCTTGTGTGTGGCAGACCTGCCGTGGCTCTGTAAGCTGACATGGGGGGTTCCCGTTTTCTTAACAGTTCTAAGTCGTTTCAGTGGCTGCACAGGCTTACGGCTGTATTATGATTTACTTAACCCTTTCCTGTTAGACGCTTAGGTTGCTTATCGTTGCTTTGTGCTGACTGGCTTGTAATTCGCAAAGGAACTGACTTATCTTTACAGCCGGGTTTACTGAGAGTGTGCGGCTGCCATGTGACTGGTGCCTGCCCGTCCTTACTGAGAGGAAGTAGACAACGTCCATCATAAAGTAAAATAGAGAGTGCTTTGAACTGATGTTGTCCGGTTGCCTCAGATGTGTGTAGATTTCCTGGGCCCCCTGATCCTGTTCTCTCCCGGGTCCAGCAGGCAGTGTTCTCCGCGCCTTGGAGACACTCTGGGGCTGCGTGTGGCCTTCTGGGCAGGATTCTTGTCTGTTTGCTTACTTTTTGTGTTCTCTGGTTTTTAGCCAGGTAAGTGAATTAATTTTTGGAACCCTTTCCTAAGTAAATGATGGTTAGTATGTCTCCATTTTCTTTAACTTAGTACGGTAGCGAGGTTGGAACAGTCACATAAACTTACTGATACGTGAACTGCATCTATGCTCTGGCCGTGCTGTGGGCCTTCCTAGTGTGTGCCAGCGCTCAATGTGCTGTGCTAAAAATGCTAGTGCTCCCCCCTTCCAGCCCAGCTCTCTGCTGTGGCCAGGGAGTGCAGTGCAGGATGGCCCAGGTGCTTGGGCCCTGCACCCGCATGCGAGACCAGGAGGAAGCACCTGGCTCCTGGCTTCGGATCAGCGCAGTGCGCTGGACGCAGCAGCCATTGGAGGGTGAACCAACGGCAAAAGGAAGACCATTCTCTCTGTCTCTCTCTCTCACTGTCCACTCTGCCTGTCAAAAAAAAAAAAAAAAAAGCAAGTGCTTCCTGCTGGGTTGACTTCACCCTCGACGTATGCACAGTGACCTCCCGTTAGCCACGGAGGGTCGGAGGGTGGCTCGTCAGCTCCACAGTGGATCTTACACACTGCTCATAGTGGGAGTGGCGTTGGCACTGGCGTGCCTGGAGCTGTGGTGGGAAGAGGGTGGGGCCATGCCAGTCCACATCATGGAGGGCTAGACACCTGGACACTCAGGTGTCACTTGGCTGCCCCGTGCAGCATGGTTGATCCGGGCCTTTCTGTGAGGCCCTGTGAGTAAGACGCCATCCCCTTCGCTCTCTTTCTCCTTTCTTTCTTATCCTTTTTCGTTTTGTAACTTTAATCAGCAGTTGGTTCTCATGCACCTTGACTGTAGATTTTTCAAAGTGGTGACAGGTACACGAGTGACCAAAGCAGAGCGTGTTGGGTGGGTCGTCTTCATCCTCATTGCTTTTTCTGGACCCTGTCACGCGGATGCGGTGCGGACGTTCCTGTTCCCTGGGCCTGGAGCTGTCCTCAGCCCAGTCTCCCGCATGGCTTGCTTGCGGCTCTCTCTGAGTGCCTGGGGCGCGCTTCCCAAAGCCCAGAGTGTGCTCTTGTGAGCGTTGATGGTGTCCTGCTGGCACCACTTAGGGGAGCGGTCCTGGGGGGCCCCAGTGGCAAAGGAAGCCCCTTCAGCCCCTCCTCGGCCGGGCACAGCCAGAGAAGAGAGATTGCGCAGCAGTGCAAGGTGGCGGAAGTGGCACCGAGGAGTCGAGACCTTAAGCGTCCTCCTGCAGTTCATTAGAAATACGTAACATATTGGAATTCAAGACGTTAGAGACAGGACGTAATTGAGCGTTTTATTTCTTTGTAGAAGTAAAAGGCTCGTCAGGAGTACTTTGAGCAGCTCGCTTTCTCCTTCCAGGAAACTTGGGACGCACCGCCGGCATTTTCTTTGCCTTAGCAAAGCGTCCTGCTCCTTCTGAGTGTGCTTGAACTCCAGCGTTCTCTTCTTTGTCTTTACAGTACCTGAAAGTCCCTCTCATGTGAAGTTTCTCGCCAGTGTCATTTCTGCCGGGGCCGTTTTTCTTTGTCACAGCTGCTTGCCTTGGCTCTTTGGAGACACTCACCTGCCCACTGCCCTTTGACGGGATCTGGGGTTCAGCCGGTGGCGGCGTCCGCGCCCCACACCGGCTCTTTCCTCCAAAACTCCGTTAGCGTGTTTGCTTTGCTTCGGTTCCCTCCTTGTCGGCCAGTTCTCTCCTTTTACCTGCATTTGGAAACTGTCACGTGGTTGGTCTGAGAGATACAAGGGGGCAAGGCCAGCGAGAGCCAGGCTTTGCAAGGCTGAGGTTCCTTACTTACTGGGGATTTCTGGGCCGCAGGGGTTCAGCAGAGTTTGTATTTCATGCAGATAGTCCCAGTGGGTGAGCACACGTAACTCAAGCTTGAAGCATTTCTGTGGGGGACCGGGTGTCTTCTGGGTGCGTGGTGGTCGCGGGAGTCAGGACCTGTCAGTCAAACCTGCCCCCACACACTCTAGTTAACAGTCGAGACCGCATTTATTTGTTTTATTGGAATTTGTGTTTGCTGGGTCATCCCGCAAGGGCTGTCGGCTGCTACTTCTGTTGTCAGAGCAGGGAGGGAACCCCTTAGAAACCCGGAGCGGGATTCCGTCAGGCCGTGTTCGCGCCTGGGAGTGGGGTCTCGGCCACCTCGTCATCTGCTGGCGGACTTCTGCCGGACTGTGCTGGTCTCAGAATGAGCCCCTAACGTCCCCTTGATGGCCTGCTGACCTTAGCAGAGCTGTTTCATTCCAGAAGTGCTATCCGAGGTCCCTGAGAATCCGAGGCTGAGCTTAGGAGAGGTTTGTGTAGCTTGCGATTTAACAGTTTTGGGTTGTATAAGAGGGAGACCTGAAGGACTCTCGCGAATGAGGGGAAGGACCTTCCTCTGCAGCTGTGAAGAATACTTGAAAGAATCGCCCAGAGCAGCAGCAGGTCGTTAGTGTTGCCTTTGAACCCAGCCCTTCAGAACTTCAGTGGCTGTAATAGCCTGCTGTCTCCGACGGGAGAGCGTGTGTCTTACAGTCACGTCCTGCTTTGCTTACAGCTCAAAGTTCGTGGAGACAGACTGCGCGCTGCTCCTGAATTTGCTCTCAGTGATAACATAGTAAAGTCTATCAGGTGTTTACTGTGCAGTTGATGTGGAACCCGCAGCGGGAAGTGACTCACCACGTACACAATATCAAGGAGCGTTTTCTGGACATCCTCCAGACTCGGAAACTTGGGGGTATTAATTCTAATTAAGGATTAATTCATTTGTCCTCCAACACGTATACAAGCGGCGTAGAGACCTGGGCATGTGTGCTGGTGCGACTTTTAAGGGCCGGACTTTGGGTTAGCGCCGTCGTTCCTACAGGTGTCACTTTCTGTCTGTCTGTTCCTCGGGCAGCTTCACCTTGGCTGGGAGTCTGAGCGTGCTTCCCCTGGGCTCTGCAGCAGCTCGGCTCTGTGTGAGCTCTCCAGCCTGTGCGTCCTCTGTGGCTGGGGAACCACGGCAGAGCCTCGGAAATCATGGAACGCCATTAAGAGTGTGTATCGAAGTAGTGGCTCCTCTCTCTAGGAGAGGTATAATTATGTACAGACACTCCGCATTGCACCTGATCTGTTTTAACATCTCAAACAGTATTTCTAAAGCTTTCCGTGGGTACCAGTTAACCATTTGTGTGTTTAAATTACGGTTGTGCAGACATCACTTTTAAAACCGTAGACGTTTTCCGTGGTCTGGTGGAATGTCGGCCCTCCCTTATCCTCCTCTTCCTCCCACCCGCCCCTCGTTTTCACCTCGTCCGCCTGTGGAGCTGGTCATTTTGATATAAAGTTCTGTCTCCCTTTTTAGTGTTAGGCATTCTCTCCTGATGGCCGCCCCTCCCAGGAGAACCCTGTGGGAATGTCGGTTGCGTCCCTGTGCGATGCTTTGCTAACCTTGTCACAGTTCTGTCTGCCGTTGGTGGCCAGTCGGGCGGCAGTGGTCTGTGACTGCATCTCCCCGTGACCCTTCGTTCTCCTCGGCCCCAATTCTTTACGAGTTGTCTAAATCTCACCTGGAGAGAGCTGTGCGGGCCACCTGTTACACTCAGCGTCCTCTGGCAGCAGTTGCTTCTAGGTCTTCCTGGCCTGCTCTCTTCTGGACTGGTTGGCTTCTGGTCCTGGGGTCTCCCTTTACCATGTCCTAGGGATTCACCGGACCTCAGCCACGTGTAGGACAGGACCTCTAGGCAGTCCCCAGAGGCTCTCTCCTGTGACAAGGGAGAGCAAAGCCAGCAGGGGGACCGTCTGAGGGGTCTCACACCAGGTGCCTGGGCTGCTCCACTTCCAGTCCAGCCCCCTGCTAATCACCTGGGGAGCAGCAGAAGACGGCCCACGTGCTTGGGGCTCTGCACCCCGTGGGAGGCTCTCCTGGCTTCAGCCTGGCCCAGCTCCAGCATTGCAGCCACCTGTGGAATGAACCGCAGATGGAGATCTCCCTCCCTCCCTCCCTCTCTCTCTCCTCCGTCTCTCTCCATCACATTCCCTCTCAAGTAAATAAATCTTTAAAAAAGAAGAATGATGTGGTGTTCAGAAGCTGAATGAAAGCGCTCCAGTGGGGAAAGAGCCCCTCGTCCCCTTTCGGCCCCTTTGTGGTGCGCTGACTCTGGGCGCATCGTGGGCTTAGCTCTTGCCCTTGCTAGTCGGGTCCTCCTGCTTGAGGGCTGGGCCTGGCAGCCGGCATTCTGAGAGCTGACCGCCTTGGGCCGAGAAGCTTGGGGGGGCGACAGGAACAAGGGGTCAGCTTCCCGCGCTCAGCACGCGCCCGGCTTGCACAGGCTGCCTGCCCCGGGCAGTGCCCTCCCTCCCCTGCTCCAGGGGTAGGGCCAGGGCTGGCTGCACAGAGCTAGAGTGGGATTTTAAACGGGCCTTTTCCCTTGCTTCCGAGCCGTGTGGCCCCATCTCCTCCCCGCGCCCTGAGGGTCTTCTGTGAAAGCCGTTTCTACTCTGATGGGGTTTCAGGAGCGACTAGGCGGTGCCTGCGTTCAGTCGCCTTTACTCAGAAGTCAGTCCCGACTTCGTGGCATGGAAAGAATAAATGTTATAAATGGCAACCATTGCTCCGTGTTGAGGAGAATATTGGTAATAAGCGTTCTGCTCAAATCTACAAATGGAATTCTTTGAGGGAGGGCCATGCTGGGAACAGTGCTCCGAGTGTTTCCCACATGTTAATGGAAGTGGTGAGCGTGTCTGTGTGTCTGTTTATGGGACAGATCTCTGGCTAGACACTTGTAAACTGCTCTAGAGCATGGCCACCTACAGCTGTGAAAACAAACAATTAGACTAGGAAAATCCCCGGGGAAAGTATTTTTACTGCTGGGTCAGAAGAGTTATTTATAAAATAAGTTATAAATTGTTCCTCTTAAGCATGCTTATCTTTAGGCAGTGCAATGTATTTGTTTTAAATTCAGACAAATCTTCAGGGTGGGCGTTCGGTGTAGTTAAGTCATTGCTTGGGATTCCCACCGCCCATAGCAGAGTGTCTGGGCCAGGTCCCGGCCCTGCTTCCAGTCTAGCTCCTGTTACTGGGCGCCCTGGGAGGCGCAGGTGAATGGCTCCAGCAGTGAGGCCACTGCCACCCACGAGGTCAGCCCTGACTGCTGGGGGCATTTAGGGAGTGAACCAGCGGGTGGAAGGTTTCTTTCTTTCCTTTTTTCAAATAAAATGAAAATAAATAAAATTTTTTTTTAATCTGAAGAATTCCAGCAACATATTCTTTAACATGTTCTTTATTAAATATTATTTTGACAAATAGAGTAAGAGGAAAAGAGAAGATTGCCCCTTAAGTGTTTTTCTGAACCTGAAGATAGGCACCTGCTGTTGATTAGCAGACACCTGTCTGATGAGGGCTTTCGGAAGTTCAGGGAAACACCTATTAGGAAGCCACGCGTGGGTCTTAGAAATCCTGCACCACAACAGACTTAATGTTTTAATTCCATTTTCCATGAACGTTTTCAAGTCCCTTCCCCTTTGTGGCTGACTCTAGAGTGTACATTGTGCCCCTCCGGTCTCCTGAGACCTGGCGAGTTGTTCCCGGACACCTGCTGGATTGATCAGAACTGGATGGTGGCAGTAGATGTTGGCACCATGTTAAGATACCTGTTGGGATGCCTGTGAGTGTCTGTGTCCAGGTCCCGGCTCTGCTCCTGATCCCAGCCTTTGGGGAGTGAACCAGTGGATGGAGGATCCCTCTCTGTCTCTTCTGCCTCTCAAATAAATGAACATGAAAAGAAGGACTAAGTGTTGAGCAGAATCCGGATAAGGTTTTCCTACCCAGCCTACAGTGGAGCATCATTGCATGCTTCGCACTCCGCCCGCCCCTTCTCCCGAAACTTCTGACAGCATCTCCCAGCCCACGGTGCCACCCGCTTTCTATCCCTGGGTACTCGAGGGACGCTTCTAGCCCTGCTTCTCACCGCGGGCCAGGCCACCCCTCGCCGCATCTGCCAGCTCTGATGTAGAAACGTCTCAGAGCAGCTCTCTTCCGTGAGTCTCTGCCCACCGTCCTGTTCCCCTAGCCCAGGGTCAGGCCCCAGCTGCTTGCCCGTGAGTCTCCGCGGTGACAGGCAGCTTCTCCGGCAGCGTCTCTGCCGCCGCAGGCTCGTGCAGCACACCTGTGCCTGTCAGCCCTCCCCGTCCTCGGCTGTTTCTTCTCCAGTACTTGTCCCTGCCCCGCAGGAGAGCAGGCGTGGCACTTGAAATCCATTACAGTCAAGACCCCCGTTCCGCGGTGGCTTCTGCCTTGCTCCGCCCGCCTGCTGGAAGTGCCCCTTCCCGGGTTTCCTCTCAGCCCAGCCGGTCTGCACACTCTGAGCCCCTCTGGCGGCCGACGTGGCTCCCCACCGCGCTCTGCCCCTGCGGGGCCCGGCAGCATTCTTTGCAGATTTTCCTGCCTCACTGGCTTGGGGTCAGGAACTGGATCTTTCCTACCCTTCTCTTCCTTAGCCCCAAGTGCATCTTGGAAATGATGTTGAATCAGGAAGACTTGTTGAGTTCTCGTATCTATCATAGGATTTTAGGTAGAGATTTATCACGTTTTAGATACAGTCACAGGTATTTGAAAAGTTTGTAGATGATGGAATTAAAATGTTTGTTTTGGTGCATGAATTATTGAAATCCATGCATTAACAGGATCTTCAAAAAGTTCATGAAAGGTTGGGAGGGTGGGAGGGAGGGAGAAAGGAAATATCACTATATTCTTAGACTTATATCTATAAATCATAATGAATCTGTTAAAAATTAATTAAAATAAAAAATGGAAAGAGAAATATATCATGAAAAAACTTGCCTGGGTTTCAAAATATCTTTTGTACCAAAGTAAATTTATCTCTTAATTCTGTTTTCCACACACTTGTACCCTGCCAAGTAATAGGCCAAGCTTGTTGATACCCTGGGATTTACCCAGGTTTGTGTAACTCGGTCATGGGAATGCAGTCTTCCGAACTCAGCTGTTTACAGCCGGGCGTACTCTGAGCAGCGGGGAGCTAGAGTCCAGCACGGCAGGCTGGCTTCTCCGGCTCCTGTCCGGGCTGTGTCCTCTCATTACGAACCATTCTGAGTAGGCGGTCTGTCTGGCCCACAGCTTGTAGCTAAGGAGCAGTAAGAGAGCCAGCAGCCAGAGGATGGACGACATCGCACTGCAGTGATGGGGCGGCCACCTCAGAGATGCAGATGCGCAGGCGTTTCCACCCTCTCGGCTGGAGCCCATGAAGTCGCTCGTCCAGCCCTGCCACACCGCTGTCCACACCACTGTCCTGGTGTCGTGTACTGTTAGCTTTGGATTATGAACTTAAAAGATTTCAGAATAGTTGCTATGCGGTAAAAGCCATCCTTCAAAAAACTGGGTGTTTCTTTGAAAAATGACTTTTATAGTTAAAAGTATTAATTGAAGAAATTTAATTTGTTAGCACAGAGTTAGCCCAGACGCTCACTCTTGGCTCATTGTGTGTAACGGCCGGGTGGTATGGGTCACTTGCAAAGTGGATTAGTGGGATTTGTTTGCTAGTGGGAGGTAAAACCCAGGGACAGTAGGAAAGCTCTGGAAGTGACTTCTAAAAAAGTTTCATAATGAGTTAAGAATTTATGCCTTATGTAGCTTACTGACTTTTTATAATAGAATGAGTGGCTTCAGGCCATCTTTCTGGTCAGATTTTATTCAATATTAACTTTAAATTTTTACATAGCTGCTTTTCTTTCTTTTTTATAGAGCCTTCCTAATATTCTCACCGACGATCGATTTAAAGTTATGTTTGAGAACCCTGACTTCCAAGTAGATGAAGAGAGTGAAGAATTCAGGCTTCTGAATCCACTTGTTTCAAAAATTAGTGAAAAGAGGAAGAAGAAACTAAGACTTTTAGAGCAACAAGAACTTCGAGAAAAAGTAATGTGTTCCTTCCCATTTAGCGCGTGCTCCTGTTTGTTTATGTGACGCTCTCCCTGTACGTTAACAGTCTTTGTACTGAAGGTGTAATTAATGGCACGGTAGCTGTTGGACACGCAGCCCGGAACCGGCCTTATCTAGTGAAAGGGGCTGCTTCCCATGCACGTGCTGGGGCAGCCGTCACGTACGCCCGAGGACTGAAGCCGTGTAGGAGGGGAGAACGGCTCGCGCTGGGCTGGGGAAAGGAGCGCCTGCTTACTATTTTTGTTTTTCAGGAAGAGGAGGAAGAACTGGAAGGAAAACCAAGTGATGCGGAAAGTTCGGAGAGTTCAGACGATGAAAAGGACTGGGTGGACGAGGTCAGGAAGCAGCGCAGACTCCTGCGGCAGGAGGAAAAGGCGCAGCGGCAGGAGCGGCTCAGGGAGGACCGGCAGACGGTCCTGCAGCCCCAGTTCTACGAGATCAAAGCAGGAGAAGAGTTCCGAAGCTTCAGAGATTCTGCCGCAAAGCAGAGGCTGATGAAGTGAGTAGCACAGCCTCGGTGACAAGGTGGCGAGATGCCGAGCCCTCGCGTTTCCTCCTTGGCTCGTCGCCCTCCAGATGACATTCCTGTTTCTGGCAGGTGGCGGCTGTGGGGAGGGCAGAGGCCTGAAGGAGCAGGGGGGCCAGAGGGCAGAGCATGAGGGAGGCAGCAGGCCGCTTGAGGCAAGTGTCCCTGTTGCAGTACCTGTCCCGGCTATGTCTTTCTCTAACAGCTTTGCGAGGGATGGTTTACATGTAAGTCAGTGCAGGGTCTAGTCTTAGGAGTGTTGGTAGGTAGACATTAGGACCAACCCCGAGTTTGCGCTTGGTGGTCTCCCACCAGGCTCCATCTCAGTTTACCTGATTATTAAAGCGGTCCCTTGGAAAATTTGCCAGAAATTTTAAACCTTTTGTAAGAAAATGACCAAAGAGAAGGATGCTCTGGAGTAGTCAGATGCATAGAGACAAACAGCAGGGTGGTTGCCACGGGCTGGACAGGGAAGAACGAGGATGCCGAGTGTGTTGGGTCTGGAGAGACGTCTGGTTTGGGCTGATGAAAAGGCTTTGGAGATGGATAGTGGGGACGGTGGCACAAAGTATGTACTGAATACAACTACTGACCACTTAAAGAGTTGCAGTGGTAAGTGTTATGTTGCAAATGTTTACCACAGTAAAACAAAAAATCAACCTTCAAAAAATATTAGTTTCATGTGAACAGTTCTCAGATGTCCAAGGAACAGGCCAGTCCACGAGTCCAAATTGCATATAGGCCGTAGGCTGTGAAAGGCTGCGCTTTGAGGTTTCTAGGCGAAGTGCTGATTGGCGAGATTTGGACTGGCAGGTGGCACAGCAGGTGTCTTAGAAGAAGAGCTGGAATGTCTGGGAGCTCCGGGGACGGCCACGAGGTGGTGGAGGAGAAGACGGCCTAGGTGTAGGTCCAAGTCAGTGCCATTTCTGGAGCTCGTCCCTCCAGAAGGTGGGGGCAGAGCAGCCACGCTGTGTTGCTGTGGATTCGTTCTGAGAGGAGGAGTGTGGTGGGGGCAAGAGATGCAGAGTCACCACACAGACCCTGGGAGCCAGGTGAAAGTGAACTAGAGGTGAGCTGCCCGCAGACTCGTTTATTTCAGTTGGTGCAGCAGCTTATATAGCCGAGGCAGCCAATCCCGTCACGGGACAGTTTATGCCCTAACCAATCACAGCCTGTTGCCAGGCAGGCTCCTTTACCAGGTGGGTTCTGAAGCCATTCCTGAGTAACTGACACTTGCTTGCCAGTGGCCATCTTGGCATGGCCTTCTCATTCCACCACATTTCCCCCTTTTCGTTTATTTTTGAGCTACAAGAGGCATGATTCTTGGCCATACCATTGTTGACCCCGTTTCCATGTGGTCTAATGCAGCTGTGCCTATCTTAGGTTGTCCCCAGGGGATCTTACCCATCAACTAACCAGCCCTTAAAACAGGAGACCACAGGAGTGCTTGCTCAGATAGGGGTGGGAATGAGGAACAATGGTAATCAGGAATGGCGTGACTGCACACAGGCTGTGGGGCATTTGAGTGGCTGACCAGAGCTAGTGGGGTATAAAACAGTAGCACATGTGGCTGTGGTCAGTTCCTCAGGGCAGGATGATAGGGCAGGTGCGTCTGCTAACAAGGTGGACTCTCAGTCTTGTGCAGCTGGTCCTGGTTGACTGTCAGTTGCAGGCTTGATATTTCTGGCTGTACCCAAATGGGCTGTTCTGCATTCTCTGGAAAGACACAAGCATATCCTTGACCCTTGGTTAGCAGAAGCCTTTCTACAGGCATTGGAATCCAGGGCCTGAATTCTGCATCTGCTCTGAAATTAATGGCAAACATGCGGGTGGGATGGGGTCTAGCAGCTGTCCTGAGAGCCTGGGGTGCCCAGGGACTGCCACAAACGTGGGGATCCTCACTGGGTGCAGATGGGATGACCTCGCATGGGTTATCGCCTTGAGGTCGTCTGTGTTTATCCCACAGATATTTGGGGGGTGGCTGACTAGGCATTGCTGCGTTGTCTGCTGTCATGTCATTTTCACTGTTGGAGCTCTCTCCCCACAAGTCATCCACTGTTACCTGTGAGGCAGCGGCCTGGAATGTCAGGCTCTTATCACTCACAGATTCATTATGTTTGGTAATCCATGTGGGCTTCTGAGAGAGGGATATCTTTCCCATGTTTGAGCACTTAAGAGCAGTGTACCACACCAACTTTATCCAAAGGAATGACACGCACAGCACTGCTACCATAACAAAGGAAATTCCTAGCACCTCAGCAGCTGATGGCATTCTGTAGGGGTTCCCCACGTTAGACGAACAGACAGTGGTGTATCAGATCGTACGTATGTCCTGTGCTTAGTGGGGGACTTCCTTGATTCGTTAGGTCAAGGCCGTCTGCCCACGCTGTGTCTTTGGAGCATCACCTCTCTCGAGTGAGGGAAGATGACTTGGTTCCGAATTCTAGGATGATCAGTCCTTTATGTGAATTCGCCAGGCGAACAGAAAGTAAAAGGAGGAGCCAAGAAGCTGTGTTACGCTTCTGGGCAGTGTGTGCGTAACCTAGGGTCACTAAGACCGAGGACAAGGACAAGGAAAGGGGCGTAGGAGGGGGTTCTGTGCTCACCCTCGCAGAACCGAACAGCACACAAAACACCGAGGGGCCTACTTGCCGAAATCAAGGGGGGAACTCGCCGAGTCCGACAACGCTGTCTCTCAGCCACGTTGGCACCAGATGTTGCTGTGGATTTGTTCTGAGAGGAGGAGCATGGTGGGGGCAAGAGGTGCGGAGTCACCACACAGACCCTGGGAGTCGGGTGAAAGCAGGCCAGAGGCAAGCAGCCCGCAGACTCGTTTATTTCAGTTGGTGCAGCAGCTTATATAGCCGAGGCAGCCAATCCGGTCAAGGGGTGGTCTATGCCCTAACCAATCACAGCCTGTTGCCAGGCAGGCTCTGTTGCCAGGTGGGTTCTGAAGCCATTCCTGAGTGACTGACGCTCACCTGCCAGCGGCCATCTTGGCAGGGCCTTCTCATTCCAGCACAGTGCTGAGGCCCGCCCGGCTCATCTTATGCAGCAGCTTCTGGAGCCTGCCTGGGTCTGCACAGCTGAGCGAATCCTGTCCTTCAGAGGCTCGGTCTGCTTCACCGCCGGAGATGTCGGCACATGAAGAAGCTAGGCGTGGTCTCTGCTCCCTTGAAGGTGCTTTCCCTACCGCCAGCCTTTTCTTTTTTGAAGCAGCTTTGTTGAGGGATCACTTCGATCCACCAGCCTCAAGCATGCGATGCGTGGGCTGTCAGTGCATTCAGAGCTGTGCAGCCATCTCCACCACTTCAGACGATTTCCTCACCCCAGACAGAACCCACACCCACGAGCAGCCCATCCCCTTCCACCTCCGGCGACCCCGTCTCCCCAGCCAGGCAGCCGCGGGTCTGCTCCCTGGACCGTGGGTTTGCTGTCCTGTCATCTCATGGAAATGGGATTACAGGGTGGGTACCGTTTGGTCTGGCTTCTTAGCACATGCGTTCTGTTCATCCGTGCGCAGCGGGTGTCAGTACTGTTTGTCTTTATTACCACAGGACTCCTCTGTGTGGACATGCGCATGCCGTGTGTCCGTTTCTCAGTGGATGGACGATGGCGCCTGAGCTGTTTCCACTGCGGGGTCTCAGTCATGTTGCTGTGCAGAGTATTCGTGTGCACGCCTTGCCGGGACAGGTTTTCATTTTTGCTGGTCAGACAGTAACGTCACACTGTTTTCCGAAGAGGCTCTCATTTTCCATCCCCACCTGCAGCGCGTGCAACCTTTCTGTTACTTGTAGATGTTTTGTTTGGGGTTCTGCTGGAGGCAGCGGGGGAGCTGCTTGCTTCTAGTGTTCTGGTTCAGTGGAGGAAGTTTATTTATTAGGCTGTCCTTTGTTCTTGTCTTGCTTTATTTTTGCTTTATCTCTGCCTCCTGGTCAACCCTTGTTCGATGCTTGTTAGCTACTTGTCATCTGACACACTGGGGAGTTGTTCGACACTGTGAGCCTTTCACGCCTGGGCCGTACATCAGGCGACTGTGGAACCCCTGCTTCGAGGTCTGCTGGGAAATAACTAGCTCCCCAGCGCCCCACAGACGGGGAATCGGGGCGCTCCCGTCTGTGAGTGACCACGGCGAGAGAAGCCCGTGCTGGGGGCGGGGGGTGGCATTCTTCCCACTGCCTGGGGCTGCAACAGGATATTAACGAAAAAAAAAAAAAAAACAGTGAAAGACTTAGTAGTCAAGATCAGCGAAGGCTAACTAAACACACTGCAGTTGAACTAAGTTAAAGGTTCTTTTTGTGTAAATAGTGATGCTTAAAAGAAGGGTCTTGCTGGCTCAGTCACGACACGTGCGTGAGTAGCCTGCAGCCCGCTGGCGTTGCGGCGCACACGGCTTCCTGGATTCCAGTCGTGACTGGATTACTGTGGCACATCTCGACTTGCAGTATCTTAGTACCGTTTAACAAAGCGCTGAGCCATTATCCTTCGGAGAATCGAGTGACTCCTCGTTTATCTTGTGAGTTACCGCAGCCGTCGGGAAAGGACGGCGTCAGAATTGCGTGTGTGCTGTGTGAGTTCCACCTGGACTCGCCCACTCGGGAACTTCTTGTCGGGGAAGACTAGTAGGAAGGTAGCCCGGGCGCGAGAGCATCGTCGGCTCTGCTGGCGTGGTCCTGTGGCTCTGGCTACATACGTGTTTGCACGTGGCCACGCCTCACAGACTGCTAACGTTCGTTGCGAGTGTATCCGTCCACTTCGCAGTCTTCACGCACAATCCATTCACCAAGTGCCTGGCGTGAACACGCGGCTGTCCTAGAGCCCACGCGTGGGAGGGAAGGCGTGGCCCGAGCCCACATCTAGCAGATACCCCGGGCAGGAAGAGGCGTGGTGCAGGGCCGAGAAGAGTCAGGGGCTTCAGCTGGGGGAGAGGTGAGGCCGCCTTTTGGAGAGGCTGAGTGGTGCAGGGTGCGAGC